GCGTCATCCGGTTGTACCTTGGCACTTGGATAAGGACATTCTAACGTCCCGAACTTGATGGCCAAAACGAGCGTCGTACACGTGGTGCAATTGTTCGAGGAGCTATGTGTGTAAAGGACAATTTTGTTCAATTACAATCGCAACACACCTGGCGCAAATTCCTACCCACTTTTCCCCATGTCCTTGCTTGTGTTTACAATCACATTCGAATCCCGTTACTTTTTACACCCGACACTCAAGTGCGTCCTTCGTTAACCAGACTAACGCTTATTCGTATCAATCCGCCCCATCATTTGTGGTCTACCCTATTGATCATGTTTTGTTCACCCTGCAGTTTGACGTCTAATTTGCGTATCGACCCTCGCACTCTGTTCACCACCGATTGACTCACTTGCGTTCTCCCCAAAGTCTGTCCTAGCTCTGGGACAAACCACGTCTGGATTTGCGGATTCAAAGCTTTCCCCGTAGTCTGATTCTAGCCCTTTTGTGATTGATTATAGAATGCATGCCTCCTGATTTGTCCCGGTCGAAGCCATTATACCTCCAGTGTGTTTGGCTTTAGTTTGCATTGTGCTTGAACCAACAACCTGTAGCTCGTTGCCGTAATCGCTAATCGTTTACCTAGCTTTTGAGGACGTCTTTGGTATGTTGTAATTTTGATATTATATTCTTGTAACGTAGAACATCGTAATTCAACAACTGTGGCCTTTTTTGCAGTTACCGGTGGGGTCGCCTCAGTTCCGGTTTTTGGTTGCTTGTTGGATCGATCTTGTACGCCGCAGTTTGGTTAGCAACGCGTCGTTCGACTATCCCCTAAGCGTTATTGATGCTTACAACGTGAAATCCAACAGAGTATTTTTTGCTTGTTCCTACCTTTTTTGATTACAGCAGTAACGCGACGAAAGCGTAAATGACTTCATTGCGCGCGTTCAACAAGTGACACCAGAATGCTGAAACAATATGACTCCTTCAAAGCGTGTCAAACAAGTTATGAAAATTCAATGCCTTATCGGTTGGGTTATAACTGATGACGCCAGCTAAAAGATACTACCACAAAAGGAGGAAACTTTTTCATGGGGAACATTTTGCAACCACAGTTTTGCAACCACTGAGCCAATGAAACTTGCACCACCAACACACACGTAACCGCTATTCATCGCAAAGCAGTAAGTGCAAATTGCTAAGGAACTGGTTCTCTCCCAGTGGGTGAATTGGATGTATGTTGAAGAGTAATCTTTAATCACGCTGCATACGCAGGATTGAACACCCTTCGCAAATATCCGTCTGAGCAGAATTGATCCTTATATTGTCCTGAAAATATTTAAATCATATGAATTCAAAGCGGCACAGAAGTGCGTTATGCATTCTCTGCAGCTACGACGAAATGTGTGCGGTTTATGGTATGACGCAACTCGGTTGCTAAACAAACTAGTCGACCACCAGCTGCATGGGTGCATATATAAGACCAGACAGGCAAGTAGATTCTCGAAACCTTTAACTCAACCGACGGGCATGCAATCTGACCATATTCCGGTCATTCCTTCTTCGGTCCAAGCTTAATTCCTAAACGTAGCAAAATGTCGGGTTTGTTAGCACTCGTAAGACATCGTTTGCAAATAACATTCGAAAGTGCTTCGAAAAGATGTGCACATTTCTTTATACCAAATATTTATGGCGCGTCATTACCATTATGCATAATTATCCTCAGTTTTTACTTCGCGACTGAGGTAAATGCCATAATGTTGTTTGTCGGGCAAGTGCTGGTGTAGGAAAGCGGGCAAAGTGCACCCGGTGGGGAAGCAAGGAACTCAGTAATGCGTTTGCCCTCATCCAATTTATCAAGTCGACTACGGAACTATTGTAACATATCTGTAGCAACCCCTTCCAGTGATTGAGAAGTCGTGGTCGCCAAACACAGTAGCAAAGTTTAAAATACTTGAGCTTTTTGTCTCTGAATTAATTAGCGTTGTGACTGGTTTAAGCTCGATAAGTATTTTGAATTTATATTTCAATTATTTCTTTATTCCAACTTGTTTCCGTAGCGGAAACTGGAACCTGTCTATCATATGGTGGATGGTTACAACAAGGTAAAATATGTTATTTCAAAACTCAACATATACAGCAATTTGCTCGCCCTCCAAATGTAACATTTTATCCGTAAAAATAATGAAAATAGTTTGGCATCACAATATATATGTGGACCAGCAGTTTCACTGTCCATCCAAGTGCGCTAACCAACAGCACAGCCTCACATTGTCATTTGAAAGTATGAAAGAAATTTCTCATCTTGAATTTATCCTACTAGCCTAAACAGATGTGCTAGTGACCTGCCACGTCGAGGAGGATCACTACCTGAGTAATTTTATGTGATTAATCTGCTGCTCATTAGTAGCACGAACGTTTCCAATTAATTTATCTTGAACCCAACGGTTTTGTTTTGTTTATTTTAGTCCGTCGAATCAAATTTACTGACAATGGTATGCGGTTGACCCTGGTGTGACGTCGTATCGCCTGCTTAGGTAAGCGCAACATCGCTGGGTGGGTGGCGGACAAATACGTACAACGCACATCCATTGTCTCAACGAGCCGAGTACTGCGATGAAGCGCCGACTCAATTTCAATAAGTCCGTATCAGGAATACCAGCATCAAAGGTTAGGCCTTGGCGATTCGGACGGACGCCGGTGCTGCTCACTGGGTGCTCGCATAAAGCACCCTGTGCTAAGCAACCTAGGCTGATCGAAACAAATCGCTTTCCAACGTTCTTAAAGTTGCATTGGCCAAGTATTTACCATACATAATGCTGGTTACACGGTACTGTTAAGTACGAAGTTTTTAACCGATCATCTGTGCACTGAGAAGCTACGCGATTCGTTCCATTAAGTGTAGATTCGCTTGGTTTGTTAACACAGTCGATGCCAGCAACCAGACAGTAGAAACGCTCGTGGATGTAAACTATAGGTGTCGTATCGCTAATGCTGCAATAGCACCTTTAGCATAAAGGCAAGGGGCTTTCATACGGAAACAGAGGCTGAGCCAAAAGCACAATCTTATTTGAGAATATTCGTCGCAGCTAGTCTGAGTAAGACAACCACCACTCAATCGGGAAAGCGCTAGACGACTGTTTCGTTCTATTGGGACTGGTCAGTCACACGAACTCATCTAGTAGTCTAGTTTTATTGGTTGGTTACGTAGTGATAAATTCACAATGAAGGAGGCAGAAAGTAGGATGGTATGTAGGGTTTATGCATGACTAAAGCAATGCTAGCGCTGATTAGTATGGTTGCAATGATCTCAGCAAAATTCACTGGACTTTACAAAGACTGTCGCCAAATCATTGGGGTCTTTTTCTTTGTCTTAGCACAATATCTCTAGCGTACGGCCAGCGTCATTGCCGTCTGCGCGTCAAAATATGGTCAAGCGATACGCTATTGGTTGCTCGTCCAAACACACTAGCGTGCCGATATTCATCCACTTACTCCTACCTAGACGACACGATACTTTAGAAACAAGCGTTTGCTCCGGCAACTTCACCTCAGAGACGAATACATGGTGTTTGGCACGCTAAACTCCCCCATATATTTTGTCCGTTCACTTTCGTAAACAACGGACGTTATAAGCGGATGACGATCCTTCTTTGTGTCAGGTTAGACGCCGGTCAATCACTGTCCGTCGATCGAATCTGTCATGTCCATCTCCCATGAGTTACCATGTTCGGTCCTTTGATCAATCCGTTCAGTCATATTGGTTGTGCAGGACGACCTTGGTTGCTCGAGACAGGCTAAAAAGACATCAAAATGAGCCAGTCAACATCTTTCCGCAAATGCTGAACTCCTACGTGAGGTCTGACGTGGAAAATGCGATCCAAGCCTGGCGTCCCTGGTGCAGGAGCCACATCGATGCACTTGAAGCTCCACAACGTAAAGCGACCAAACTCGTTAGAGGATTACTTCATCTCTGCTACCAATGCAGACTGCAGTCCCTAAAAGTGTACAGTGGTGCATATCGACGTCAGCGAGGAGACCTAATAATGGTTTAGTTAATACTGACAAACCCAACTCACCAATGCTGCAATCTGTAGCAGCTGAGCCAAAATACCAACCTGAGAGGCCATCAGCTCAAACTGTCTATTCACTACAGTCGACTTGATAATCGACGCAACGTTTTCTCCCTCCGTGTGTCCCGTGCCTGGAATGCCCTTCAGACTCACGTTGTCCTTGCCCTTACATTAACTCTTTTCAAAAAAGGCCTTGATGAAACGCTTTCCAACTTGCATTACTTGATATAGTCCGTTCCACTTGGAGGGAAAAATAACGCAAACCTAACTTTGTGCTTAACGGCCCTCTCCGCAACGTGGCGGTGGGGATACATGCAGAAGTGTCCATGTGATTAGCCTGGATGTAGCTAAACTGGATTAACCTATCACATCTGTCAAACGAAGAAACAAACGAGTCAGCGTTGTCGTTTCCCTTTTTTATTTCTCACGCATTTATTGAACTGTAACAGCTCTCTATAATATTTTGCGTGTGCACATCCCATGCCCACTTCAAACTATCATTATACAGTACTGCATTTAACTCAGTGGACGTTTGAAATAACCATTTACTTATTCGATGTTCCTTCACATTTTAATTTGTACTCCAGCCGTCCTACGGGACCGGTAAAGTACATGCTTTTTGACCCGTGATAAACCATTCTTCATCGTTCATTGAGTAAGTTAACTTAGTGGGGAATGCATCATGCGAATTCAGCCCTCAGACATTAGTCAACCACATGGCTACGTCGACACGCTTCAACTGATGTGCTTCGCTTTGAACCCAAAATTTCGTACTATGACCCATTAGTTTACCATATTTCTAATATTTCAAATAACTTGCTAGGAGCTGAAAGCTATCGTTGTTCCGGATGCGCTCTTAGCAATCTAACCAACTGGTCTTTAATTCGGACTCCAAAAATTCACTTCAGATAGATGTACTTAACGGTCAATGTCAAACATGAGAGGCCAGCAAAATCTGGGAATGTGATTACTTGACGCGGTAAAGTCGGTCGATAATTTAGGCGATTCTGTCAGATGGCAGAATTCATTAGAGGTGGGAGCACGCAGGCACAAATGAAGCATTGTAGTGTTAGCCGATGGGGAGACAATGATCACCTTCGGTTGCGGTCACTGTCCAGCGTAAACGGAGTTTCCTTGATAATCAAATTATTGTGACTTGATCGAATTAGCTAGTGAACGATCTAAGCTCGAGTAATCAATAATTTCCCCTGCGCTACTACGGTTTTAGCAGAAACATACTACATTAATTCAATCGGATCCGGTATGATCCTTCTTCATAATTTGAAACAATCAGTGTTGTTTCGCGAACGTGTAATAATATTTGAATCATTCTCATTAGTGATGATTAACAGAGTTCGCCCTCCCGGCAAAGTAACCACTGTCTCTTTCGGAGGACCTGAAGTATTAGCGCTACGGTGTTAAATTGTGTCCCTTAAAACTTAGGTTGCTTACGCGACGCTGCTACAGGTCCTATAAAATAAAAGAACGTGGTGCAACATATCACCTTACTGTTCTCCGTAGTAGTACTGCTTGGTGATCGTTCACATGCCTACTTGTGTGTGTGTGTGTGCTGGTTCCCGTTATTTACCTAACGTTAAATTCAGTTTGACTTGAGTCGCATAAGGAGGAGACAGTGAAGGGTAAACGCAATTGCGAAGGAACCGACAATTTGGACTTGGTACTCAATCGCTCAGCTGTCCAAAAGCCTGTACAAATTTAGGGGGTTGTCAAAGCGCTCGCGCAGGCGTACTCACGAGTGAATGAGAGCGTTAGTTAACCATTTCCACAATATCGACAGAAATGCGCACCCCAAGAGGCAGAGCGAAATATTGGAGGGCGAGCCGCTTCAGAGATCCAGTCCGTCCGGTTACGACTGAGTGAAAAGACAGAGCAGAGGCATTAGTGCGCGAATTGTTCTGGTTTCGGTTAATCCTGGGTCCATAGGAATTCCTTATTTTGTGCTAATTGGATGGTTCGTTAACTACTGCTGTCACTACATTGAAGGTTTGTACGGTATCCTCGACTGCACTTACTTAATCATACATATGAATCTCTGTACTTCAGTGACAGATAGTTTGTGTTAGGTATACCACTCTCTAAATCACAACCAAAATAAAGTAACCCATCTGGAACAAGCCATTAACTGTGCAACAAAATTACCATTAAATATAAGTTGCTTGCGAGGGCCATAAATCTACGACAAATAGTCTGAGGGTATCGCACCACCGAAATACAAAAATCTCTGCTGAATTCAAAAGAAAATTTGACAACAATAAGTAGTTTTACCCACCCGCGGCAACAACATACTTTGCTTAGTTTTTATCTGTAGTGGACCTATTGCCTACGATACCGTTCTTACTAATTTTCTAGAAGTGATCATCGGTCAGTGCAGCGCAACTTCCAAAGTACAGATGATGAACACGGAATCTGTTATTTTTTCGTTTTCAATCTGTAGATTGAGTTTCGTTTCTTCATACCATTCATTGGATAAACTGGCACGGCCTCTTTCTCGCAGATTGTACACAACAGTAGGCAGAGCTGTTCTAAAATAACATGAGCAACTGCAACGAAAGCTTTGTACCGTTGCAAAATAAATGCGTTCAGGATAAGCAAGATAGCTCTCAAGCATTGAAATTGAGGCGTACACTTAATAAATAAGTAAATCCTTATAATAAGAGACAAGCGGTATCAGCTCCGAAGCGTAGGAAAAAATTCCTTGTAGGTTTCGCTACACGCCAGATTTACCTTGGTTTTTCTTCAATCCGTGATAGTAGAAAGAATTATGGCTCAGAAAGAGCGACAATGTTTGCCGCAAGAAAACAAGGACTTCATGACATGTGCAAAAATTGCCGGTTTATCAAGGCAATTCCGAGCTCGTGGGCTTGAGTGAACCATTACCCTAAACCAGGTAGTTCTGCTGGACGGATTATACATTAATGACCCAGCAGCTATGAATGAAGCATTCAGCGCGTACTTTGATGAGTCTTTGGTACATGGGCTTGCACCCTCGGAACTAACTCATACATTCACATGTTACCACCTCCTGAAAGGACTCGTCGAGGCATCCGCTTGGGAGTCCTCAAATAACTGTCCACTTGACGACTTTTGGACAGAATTCGTTAAACGACTCAGGAATATACTCAACTGAGCATCAGAAACCAAGTCCATATGTTCCGTGGAAGTTCCGTCAATGCTCTGAAGCAGCATAGTGTGCTAACTAGGCTAACCGAATCTCAACGTCTTGGGACAAAGGGCTAAACCTATCGCAACCATTTCACCACACTGGTCCGTGAGGACAAAGTAACTTATCAGCAGTGTCTTGCCAAAACGCTTTCGGCAAACTACGAAATTGGGGTATTCAGCTGACGCGATCACAAACTACGAGGCGACCTGATTCTGGCATACTTGATTCTACAAGGCCCACATCATGTGTGCCGCCCTTTACTGCGACACAGCACCAATACAAACCAGAAGGGCCACTCATTGAAATTCGCTGAACAGCATAGCCGCATGGAATGCCGAGGAAGTTTTTTCCATTCGTGTTTCTCACCGGTGCAATGTTCTCACAGAATCGGTTGTCTCTGCACTAACAATAACATTATTTAAAAGGCGATTGGATGACGCACTCATCCAATTCCAATTCGTCACTCAGACCTACGTCTCCATGCTAGGCCTGGAGCTTACCACAGAAATCTTTGATGATAACTGTGGGTGCTAAATACTGAACAATAAACAATACTTTAGCACGGGATAAGAGCAAGGTCTTCACGCGTCCCCTAGAATGGTTGGAGTGAATATGAGGAAATCATAGTATATCTGAGTCATCTACCGAACGTCTGCCGAGATGAATACTTTGATGAATAACATTAGTATAAAATGAAAATATCGAGCGTAACCTTTCAGAAAGACACTGGGTTGCAGTGATCGTTGATATAAGACGTGAGAAAAAGAAAATATGGTTGCTAACTTTGTGCCATTTGATATTCAACTCCTGTTGAAAAGCATGTTTGGCGTGATGCACAATAGAGGAGTTTAGGTAACAAAGTGCTGGGAGCTAAGGGCAACATTCAATCGTTTTTTGAAAACGACCAAGGTAGGAGAGGATACAACTGAGTCTAGGAGTGCGTTCCAGGGTTGGCAAACTCAAACGGAACAGTGCTTACGTCTACACACTAGACGGCTATATTGTTCCTCCAGTTTTAAGCAGTTCCCCTGAGATGCATGCTGTGGCTGAGTTTCAGGAATTGGCGGCATACGTGGTTGCGGTCACTCAGTATTTGATACGCTAATATGAGATCCCCGCGCAGTCTACGATAGCGTCCGCTGAAAATTCCCAGCAACTTCAGCCTTCGGTGGTAAGAGTGATAGCGCAGGCCCTTTACATTCTTTGTTGCTCTTCGTTGTGGTGCCTCTAACGTCTCTAGGTCCCGCTACAACCAAGGCGGCTTAGCTTGGATAGCGTACTCAACATGCCGGTGCATGTAGGAATTGCGCATCATTTGGAAGCTTGTTGGATCAAACCTCCCGAATGCCCTTCACAGTATGCCGACTGTTATGGGGACCCAACGTCCCTATAATTATTAAAGGCTGAAATTACGGAAGGCTGAAAACCAGATTCACTCAAGTGCACATGCACTCAGAGCAGATAAAACGCACACGTTCAATCCGCCTTCCAACTCGTGTAACTTGCACATTGTTTAGCCTTTGCACCCAGAAACAGTCTTGTTTCCAACCAAATACGCATTGTTGTATCCAAGCAACATTCATTTTTCCAGACAACTCTCGCCAAACTTCCAACATTTCGGCTCATTTATGGACTTTTGCATATTTACATAAAACCATGTTTCTTGTTTCCAGGGTTTGCTTACGCAAACCCTTCCAAGGAACCCCCCCCCCCTTCATCTCCGTTTCGTGATATAAAAATGAGGCTGTACAACGCTAGAATCGCCTTAACTTTGGCCAGTAAAAGCGCCTGT